CACACCCACCTGCATACACCCGACGGCCTCTTGTTACATTTCTTTCTGTCTTTCTTTCTCTATTTGTTTTTTTTTGTTGCTTGCGGCTTTTGTCTGGACAATTGTTTAATTATGTACAACATTTGGGCGGCTTGGGGGCTGGACAGGTGCGGATTATATGCATAAGTATGGGTATCGTTGGGCAGGAGAGCACTTTAAGTACAGTACTGATATAATTTAAGTGGAAATATGAGCCAAGAATGTGTTCTCTCATAATTGTTTGCCTCACTTTGTGGTTGTCTTGTTAAATACCGTTATTATCCGACAGATTTACTGACCAAAAAACAGTGCTGCCTAACGCCAGGTGGCGTTATTTAATTGTACTTGAATATAATTTACATTAAATTGAGTGTCTACAGCCCATAACTAGACATAACATCACATGAGAGCCACTTGCACATGAGTCAGCCCTCAATGGACATTAAAATCTAATCTGAATTAAGGGGTGTGGCTGGGGGGAAGCAAGGATCAAATAATATCAGTAATATTTTTGGTATGAAATCAGTGTTCGCTGAGCTTAAATACCGACTGAATATAAAAATATCGCGCCAGTCAATTACACAACTTTCGATTGCATTTGAATCACCCATTCAATCTAATCTGAAGAGCATTTATAACCAATATTGACCCGCAATTAGGCGCAAAGTAGTTTCCTACTGCCAATCCTCCTCATATCTCCAACACCACCACCACCACCACCGACACCGACATTTCCAATTACGATTTTGATATGAGTTGAACACGGCAAGTTTCCAACTTCAACATTGATTTGTGCCCCGTGGGACTGGACAGGACAGAACGGGATATGGGGAGGTGGCGCACAGAATATTATTGGAATTGGATCATAGCATAAACAAAACACTACCGATTCATGGTCGAAGGTCGAGGCTTTTGCACTGCGCCCCTGCCAGAATAAACATTTGCATAACGAGCCGGCCATTTTATGAGCCATATAACCCCCAAACGATTTCCCGCTTTTCCGGCCATTCCGCTTGCCACGTGACAGCAAAGCGTTAAGGCCATAAAGGACTATGAGTGCTGTGGGGCAAAGGGGTGCCTGCCAGGCGAGAGTTAATTGAAAATTGCGGAGGAAAACAGCAAATGGAAGAAGCTGTTTAGCTGCGTTAAAGCTTAAGCTGCAGCACCTTTGGAATTTTATTTGCTTGGCATATTTGATTACAGGCTCCGCTCTCACACATACACGGAGTAAGTACTCCCACGGACACGCCTGGGAATATCGGGTGTCAAAGCTATTTCCTGGCGCACATTTTTGCAGCATTTCCATGTCAAAGCATTCAAGCAGTGAGTGGAGCCATTGAAAAATACATCGTTTGCTGATGCTGCATCAGTTTTCTCAGAGAAATGCATCTTCCAGCCTTAGTGTCTGCCGTGGAATGGGAGTGGAGGTCCCGGCAGGTCGCGTTTCTGCGGCGGACACGTGAAGCCATCATCAATCTAGGAGCACTGGCAACGACACTTTTAACGACTTCTTGTGGATTACTTCAAACAAAATAACCACTTTGTAGTAGGAAATTTTATGTTGCCCCGGTTGGTGTCGATGGCTTTCGGCTTTCGGCTTTCGGCATCAGCCACGTCTACGGCCACGGCTTTGGCTTTGGCTTGGGCTCTGGATATTTCACTGCATTTTGGCCAAAGTTTTGCTGCGTGCCCCGAAAGTTTACCCTTTACCCCACCTCCCCCCACATATTGCACACACTCGTATATCCGTGTCAGTCGGCAGCCGCAGTGCAAATTGTTGGACTCTGCCGCCTGGCTTAAAGGAGCAACAGCCGCAGAAGGCGGTGGAGATAAATATTTATTGATACTGCAGCAACGTGGCGTAATTTGCGTGCAGTAAACGTCCACTTAGATGCAGTAATTTTGGACTGCTGTCTTCTTCCGACAACTGCAACGAGCAGCGCAGTTGTTTTATGTGCAGAAAGTTTGTGTGTCCAAGAAGGTGCAGTGCATAAGAATTACATATAAATCCGTACAAAATTCTGCCAAGTGTGTCTGTAACTTCTTGCCTAAATCATTAATTTTTTAATCATCAATTTTCGCACATTATTACTTGTGGCAGGTGCTAAGGAACAGTGCAAGAAATCTACATGGTTGCTTCATCCATTTTTGCAACCCGCAAAGCTCTACCGCAGGAGCTTTCTGCTTTTTAGGTTAAGGAGCTTTCGAAACCCGTTACCCGTTGAAAGGGATCGATTGAAGCATTTCAGGCATCGTTTGGAATGTTCATCGGAATGAATATAAATGGATATATTTATTATTTTCTATAGAAGCCTATAAATCCGTATAATCCCAGAGGTTTTCCATCGCCATTACTGAACTGTTTAGTCGAAGATACCCTCCTCGGCTGCCTTGTTGACGAGTGCCTTCAGACCGGCCGTAACCTCGACGCCGACCTCTGTGATCTGGTTGGAGGGCAGGAAGAAGCCGAAGGTGCCCTTGTCGCGCAGCTCCACGGTGCAGGTGAAGGGAATTTTCTTCACACCGTAAGCCCAATCCTTGGCAGCGCCAGAGACGACATCTGAAGGTGAGTGAAGCGATGCGATTAGTTGGGAAATCAGTGGGGAAATGACTCGAAATACTCACAGTTGAGCAGACCGCTGGCACCGTAGGTAAATGCAGAGCCGTAGGGCTCGGAAGCAGCATCGGAGAAGGCAGCGGCGATACGCTTCATCTGCTCATAGTTGGGGGGGAACTCGGTGTTGCTGTGGCCATAGGGCAGGAGCACATACTGGCCATAGGCGTGGAAGGCCATGTAGGAACGGATGTAGCCATCGTCGAAGGAGCTGACGAAGGACTGCAGGGCGAGGATCTCGCTTTCGGTATTGGGCTCGTCACCGCCGAACCAGTGGTCGCAGGGCTCATCGATGTTCCAGCCAGCTCCGCCCCAGTGGTAGTCGAAGTTGCGGTTCATGTCGATGCCATAGCAGAGGCCGGAGGAGTTGGAGGCGCCATTGGGGCGGCGGTTCTTGCGCCACAGCCGCTCCACCTCGTGGGTGTAGACGAAGCCATCGGGGTTGACCATGGGCACCACAATCCAGTCGTATTCCTCGCTGAGGCGCTGCATCTCGGGGTCCTCGGAGTTGATCAGCTGGTTGAGCAGGAAGGTGACGGTGGCCGAGGAGATCCACTCCATGGCGTGGATATTGCCCTCAAGGAGGATGGCCTTGTTGCCCTCGCGCTTCGACAGCCTGATGCTCTTGATGTCGCGACCCTCGTACGACTGGCCAATCACCTTGCACTCCAGATAGTCGTGGGCGGCGCACTCCTTGTCCACCCAGTCGTAGATCGTGTCCAGGGTGTGATACGACTCCCACTCCATCTCTGTGTCCTTGTCCACAGCTGACTTATCCAGCAATCTGAGTAATGGAATTTTTAGATGCGATCTATTGATCTGTTCCGTGCCACTTACTTTTGCAGATCATCGACAATCACTTTGTAGACAATCTCCAAGTACTCCAACTTACTCTCCACGTACTTATGCAGCAGAGGACCCACAATGACGTTGTAACTGTTACCAGGACCAGCCAGTTCGTTGAGGAAGTGCACCTGAAACGAGTTACAGATTGCACTGGCCTGTTGCCCTACAGCAGAGTTTTGTGTCTCTTACGGATATTTCCTGGCTGATCTTCTTTAGTTCCTCCATCTGGCCTCCGTTATCGATGAACAAACTGTAGATCCTGAAGTTGTCGTAGCGAACGGCATAACGGGCCACGGCCGACTTGGGCGCGGCCAAGGCCAGCGGCAGGATGGCAAGGAGGAGGAAGAGCAGTCTCATTTTGGTGTCTTGAACGATCTAACGTTCACTGTGTCGCCAGTGGATACGGACAGGGCTTTTATTTGTCTCAGGAGTGGCCACTCCAGATGGTGTTGTTATCTAATGCAACGCTGATAGTGCCTATTGCATGTCGGAATAGAGGAAACAATTGATCAGTCATCTGGCGTGTGTCTTTCCCTTGCTTATCGGTACCTAACCAGCCTACCACAAAGTAAAGAGCGAAGTGAACTTTGCTACTCCCGGATGGACACTTCGAAAATTGCGTGCTCCGCTCCGATGACGATATGGTTGTATCGACAAAGTCAAGTTTAGGAAAATAATGAAATTAATGCACTAAGCGTGAAGGCAGCCACTCTTGTTATCAGGAAGTGCCACTCATCGTGAAATATGTCAATTTAATTGGGAACCGTCTGCGCGTGAAAGAGCACTTCTCAGGGAATGCACTCGGCACCTAGGGAATGCGAGAGTTTATTTATTAATTTAATCATCATTGCAATTTTTTATGAAATATTTAAGTGCATCTTATCACTAGCTAGTTAATCAATGCTGGTGATTTTCTTCATTTGAAATTGTCTTTTCAACGCGCCAAGTGCGGCAAATGCGGCCACACTTAATGGTGATGCACAAAGAGTTGGCGCACCCCAAAACGAATTCATTTTCGCAACTTACCGTTTGCCATTACAACAAAACTAACAAACTTCAAGTTATGTTTTAAGTTGAGCAGTATTCCATTAAATTTCGCTATATTACGAGAATCAGAAGGGACATTTGCGCTGGCCGGAAGTGTATATTTGATCGTCGAATCCGCGGTCACACTGAAACGAGCGTGTAGGTAATAAGTAGTTGACATGTAGCAAGAACAAAAGTAAACATTTTTTTTGAGCAGTTTCGATTAAGCTTCATTTTCTTAATAATCCATTAAAAATGTGTCCTCAAAATGAGCTAATGTGGTAATAATTGTATATATTAAATGAATAAAATAACATTTTTAGTGTTAAAAAACCTAACAAGCTGATAATCTTAAAAATAATATCAAAATTAAGGAATATAATTTCCGTCAGTATTGTTCGGTATATTTTTTACATGTTCTGGTATATTTCCGATGGCCAGGTGGTATATCTTATCGATAACTTAACCTTCACAACAGCTGTTCGTTCATGTGTATTGATAGGCCGCCCATACAATTTCGTTTTCTCGAACAGCTCGCGCGCTAGAAAAGTCTTTAATAGCTAATCGCTCCCGCACGTGCCCAGCTATAGTTTGCAGTAAGATAATACATTACTTAAGCTTGGCAGAGTCTACAAGAGAACGGCACAATCTCCGGAAGATAGATATGCATTTGACATTACATAAGAAGCGATGAGCGAATATAATTGGGAATCGAAAGAAAATTGAAAGCAGCGCCAGCGAACGCTGCCCGAACACACAATTGAAGATATTTCATCAGCCAATAAGGAGCGCAGCCACAGCAAGAGTTTCAAAGTGAAGAAAAGTCTTGTGCAATTGGAAACAAAGCAAGAAAAAATATGTGCTGGGCAACAATAAAGCAAAGGCAGGAGTGTATCAACTGTAGCAGCAGTGACGCCGCCAGCAACAGCAACAGTAACAACAACAAGAGCAGCAACCAGAACCGCAGAGAATTTGCGCCTAGCAACAAGATCGATTTGGCGAGCGAATTTCTTTGATTTGCGCCCATTAGTTCGACATTTTCAAGCCAAAGAGTGTAAATAGTAGTACATAGTACATAGTAGTTATAGCACAATTCACACGCACAGTGAACGCCGTGGAAAGAAGAACTTACGATTATAGCAGTAATACAAAGATACAATAGAGATCGATCCCAAAATGAATACCAGCGCAGTAGCAGCCAAGGGCAGTCCCAAGAAATTCAATGTGTTCTCCCACTTCAAGTACGAGCATCTGGTGGCCGGAATATCCGGAGGTGTAGCGTCCACAATTATACTCCATCCACTGGACCTCATCAAGATTCGATTTGCTGGTGAGTAGCATTTAATTCACTTTACGCTTATTCGTTTCCACTGTGCCTGGGCCCGCCAGCTGTTGATAGTGGACGCCACGGCACGTGCAGACGCTTCTACAGCGTCGCCAGCTTGGCTGGAGATTGCAATGTGCATCGTGCCTCCCCTCCCACCCCCACCTCCCCTTTCGCTTGTGGTTGCGCAGTGCAATTGGAAAATTTCCATGGAAAATTTGAGGCGGCTGCAGAAAAGCTTCGTGCCTCCGTAAAGTGAGACGATGACGGCCTGGGATGGTTCTCATTTTGAGTGTGGTTTTTTTTTTGCTGACTCGTCCGATAGCTGGTCGAAATTTATTGATTTGTTGACAATTCTGTGTGACTGATTATGCTCCACTCCGTTTCTGGCTAAATGTACTCTAATCTAGAATTCTCGAGAAAGAAATAAAAACACGCCCTCAAATGGGTTTCGCTTTCCGTACAAAGATCGATATTAACAGTTAACCTGCCAACAACAGTTACAATTGCAGAGGAAAAGAACAGCTGATTGTGATTCTGAACCAGCTGATATTCGCTGTTTTCTGTTTGTTTTGTGTAAAAGCATTCAATGAATCATATCCCAACATACAAGTATAAATGTAGTTGGCCTCGTTCGCGCTGCATGCGCAAAATATGTCTACACGAGTAATATTTCCGTATAGTCGGGTTCAAAATAACAACAACAGGAGCGGGTTTATTAAATATTATTGTTGTGTTTCTGCTTGCTGCTTGAGATCAGCGCTAAAAGGCGACCAGCGTAAGAGTCAATATGTAAATTCAGCAGAAAAAATGTTGAGTAAACAACAACAACAATGGGAGTCCCAGCAAATTAGGTTGTTTATGCGAATAAAAATCACACCATGCAAAATTTCGTTAACTGATAAAGCAGCTCAAAGACCTAGACGGTCGAGGGTACGGGTAGATAGCAGCCCAGCTTTCAACTCTCAGTTCTTCTATTTCTATGTGCTTTGTATCTCCGAGTAATATAATTCCAGTACGTAAATCTTATCCAGTTTTCAACAGCTGTTTTCTATTGACTTGCGCAAGGCCTTCCACTTTTCTGCGGTGACGCATTTGCCTCAGAGACACACACAAAACTTGTTTGCTTTTGCTCTTTTGCTCACGTGACCACGCTGCTACTGCTCTTTCTGCTGACTGTACATTCGCTTTGTTAACGGCAACTTTCGGGCGCTGACAGACGAGCTTTGGGCAGTGTCCGGTTTATGTGGCACAAGCAGCCGCAAAACGAGTTCCAGCCTGTTGCCAAGCGGGAAGCTCGCTGAATCAGCACCACCACTTGTTGTGACCTTATCGGGTGCGCTGCCATCGAGTGCACCATCAAAAACTCATTACTTTGGCCCTAAACTCGATTGGGTCAGTAGATATGTGGATGTGTGATTTATAGATCATCATCCGAACATGCTGCAGAGCAGCAGTAGCCAGTTAGTGTCATCGCTCAAGGTCACTGGTGGGGCAACTAAGAATAGCCAAGAAATACAAAAATTGAGAATACTGAAAATTCTGACGACAGACGAGCCCCCTTTCTGGCTTGTGGCGCTGTTGTCAGGCCAGCTTTGCCCCCACTGTAGTCGTCCATACATATTTTCATATAAATAGATGCTAATGGACGCGTAAACATGTAGAGCTCATTTCGACTCTCCCTTCTTATCGCATCCGCTAGCAATTAACGCTATCTGTTTGGCGAAAACAACTTTGGCCAGGGCCCGTTGGAGTCAACAACTGATTTGCCGTCCGTTCCGGGCCGTGCGGTACCGAGCCGAGGGCCGTACAGTTGCCTACGGTAAAGAAAAACACAACCCCAGGAATGACGTATCCTCGCCATACCCTTCTGCCGAATTATTCAACTATATGACACACGATTTCTATTGCACTGTCTAGACGTATTTATCACTAACGGTTTGGTTTGTCTACTTTCAGTTAACGATGGACGGACTGCAGCGGTTCCCCAGTATCGGGGACTGGGCAGTGCCTTTACCACCATTTTTCGGCAAGAGGGCTTCCGAGGCCTTTACAAGGGGGTCACACCCAATATCTGGGGATCGGGCTCCTCCTGGGGGCTTTACTTCATGTTGTAAGTGGCTCTAAGCTCCCAATTGGCTCGAAGAACGATTAAACGATTAACACTTCCCATGTCTTTTGCAGCTACAACACCATCAAGACATTCATCCAGGGCGGCAACACAACGATGCCCCTAGGTCCCGCCATGCACATGCTGGCAGCCGCCGAGTCTGGAGCCCTCACTCTGCTCTTAACCAACCCCATTTGGGTGGTGAAGACGCGCCTTTGTCTGCAGTATGACTCCTCGGCCAGTGCCGAGTATCGGGGAATGGTGAATGCCCTGAGCCAGATCTACAAGGAGGAGGGTATCCGGGGATTGTACCGAGGGTTCGTGCCCGGCATGCTGGGCGTCTCGCACGGAGCCATTCAGTTTATGACCTACGAGGAGTTGAAGAATGCATACAACGAATACCGCAAGCTGCCCATCGATACGAAATTGGTGTGTATACAAATCAATGGGGAACAGCATCACATGACCAGGTTGTTCGTGCCGTTGCCATCTCATTTAATATATATACAGATATAGGCACATCCATATCTGTATATATCCGGCTGCGGCCGGTTTTTGGTGACGTCTGAGTGATTTGGCAGATGTTCAAGAAAATTCGTTCGCATTGCTAACCGTTGCTCGCTTTCCATCCACAGGCCACCACCGAGTACTTGGCCTTTGCGGCCGTCTCCAAGCTGATTGCGGCAGCAGCCACATACCCGTACCAGGTGGTGCGTGCCCGCCTGCAGGATCACCACCACCGCTACAACGGCACCTGGGACTGCATCAAACAGACTTGGAGGTACGAACGCATGCGCGGTTTCTATAAGGGACTTGTGCCGTACCTCGTCCACGTCACCCCCAACATCTGCATGGTCATGCTGATTTGGGAGAAGCTGACCAGCTAGATAGAGTATTAGCCAGAACCTAAAATCTAGCATCTAGAATCTGGAACAGAATTTAAGCACCTAGAATACACGAATCTTTCTAGTTTCCTCCAATGTGCAACAATTAGCAATGAGCAGCAAAAAAAATGACAACATGTTTTGTATTATTGTTATAATTCGATTAAGTATTAGCCCTAAGTTAATTCCATAATTAGTTTATTTCACATACTTGCGCCTCTTCACTTTTAAAGTAATTGTTGTGATGGTCTGCAAATTGATTGGTATGGTGCATTTCTTGCACACTTCACCGAAGCAACACACATTCTTACACCCCATTTAGTTGGTAGTTTAGTTAAATTATTTATTTTGTAATGGATTGGAATTGTTGTTGAGACAAAATTTCGTTTTGGCAAAAAGATTCTTCATAGTTTCGCAAATGGTTTATAATCTTAAGGATGAAATGAACCTTGACACTTATGTAAATAATCATAAAACGCATTGTGAACCACCAACTAAGCTGCTGAAGCAGAACAATCCCAATCAAATCATACAACCAAGAGAAGAAAATACAAAATTAGTTACTTACCTACCTACATTAAAATGCCATGATGGGCAATCCAGAAGGAACAAGAACAACTAAAAAAAAACAGAAAACACTATAAACCAGAATGTCTCGGGTCCAACCAGAGTCTTTTAATTTGAACAAGGGCTATGGGCTTCGGCTTCAGCTTCAGCCGTACGCTGTGTTGTAAGTAGTCCGTGCACCTTCCTCTCTTTTCACATTTTCGTAACTTGTGGAGAATCTCTTTGCTAAACTGAAACAGCCAACTCGTTGTACTGTAAGTAATTGTAGCCACCTCATCACAGTCACTAACCCCCCTATCCATGCTTTGTTTCATTGCAGATTCGAGGGCGGAAGCGGCTTCTACAAGGGACTGCAGGCCAATCTTACGCGTGTGATACCCGCTTGCATGATCACGTTCCTGGTGTACGAGAACGTTTCGCATTACATGCTGGCCAATCGGAAAAGGGCCGAGGCTGAGGCTGACAAGGACGACAATTAAACCAAGCTTGCAGATACTTACGATTCAGGATTCCTCTAGTAAATAGTTTAAGAAGTGTACCTCTATATCGCATTACATTGTATCAGGAGTCGCAGGACAGCTGCGCACGTGTTGAGCACGGGAAAATGTTCCTTGTTCTGAGGCTGTTGAACGATGCTTTAGTCTATAAGTGGCTGGTTTTACAACGCAAAACATCAAATGCCATTAAATGTTGAACTAAGTTAAAAATACTTGTGAAAACAGCCTCCATCAGGCATCGTACATTGTCAGGGGAAGCTTATAAAAAGCATTAGTGGTTGGGTGAATAACTAAATCGTTAACAATGGTACATTTCAGATAAAATATTGCCCGTTTTCGAGCTTCAATCGATAGCTTGTTGGAATCAATAAAGACCCCAAATTAATCGCTAATTGCGATTGCCAATCGCTGTCAAATTGGAGGCTGTTCAACGGTTGTTTGGGCAGTGCTTACGAAAGCTTTCGGCGAAAGCTTTGCCTCTGCTTTCGTTTTCATTGCTTTGCCTTGCTTAACCGTTCGCCCGGTTCATTTTTACCGTAAAACTCGTCAAAGGCGGACGTTGACACGCTGCACCGCTTTTGTTGTTATGTTCGTCGCTGTTTGTTTGCGTATTTCGTTCATGTGTGAGTTCCATTACATTTCGTGATATAGAATTAGCGCCAAGAGCCCCATCCCATAGCACAATCCGAACAAAATCGAAGCCGTTTAAGCTTATGCAATAAACTCGGTGGTGACCACCAAAACCAAAGTGATCCACTTCTTCTTTTTGCATCGTAAACGAAACCAGTTTCGGCTGCACTCACGCCAAATACACAAGTAAATTGTCCAAAAAGTGCACAGTCGAGTTCAATAAACCTCCCCCTGCAGCGATAACGACAACCTCTGGACCCCGAAATTGCAGTGAATTCGAGTATAAATACTTGATAATTCTGATAAGTTCAAGTGCAGACATAGAACTTTGTTTACCGTTGGCACAGAAGCGAAGCTTGCGAACAAAGCGCGTGCGAGCAGGAGGCGAAGAGCAATTAGAGCTGGGAGAACAGAACCACATGTTGCCGACAGCTACGTGATACGTGTGTGAGTGCGCGACAAACAAACCACCGAAAATCCACTGAAGGCAGACAAAGACCAAGCATATATAGAACGTGTGTGTGTGCAGAGCGACCTTGACTGCAGAGGGAGTTCGATAAAAGAGCAAAAGAGTCAGCCCGCGCGTTTTACAAAGTCTAAAGAGCATTTATCCGCATCTGGAGTTGCATGGCAACCAGCGTCATACGGAGCAGCGTTGTCTCAACATCCGCCGGACGCCGCAACATCTGCGACTGCCTGGCCAAAGAGTCCTCCGGTCTTGTGAGTCTTGAACCCAAGTCCCAATCGTACAGTGGGTGTGTCTGTCTGCGGTGCCACTATCTGGCCAGAAAGGTAATCGTGACCACAACCTCTTCTGACGACACGTTGCCCGTGGAGCATAAACATCATCCCCTCAGTGTCATTTCCTTGGGCACCCTGAGCGCCAAGGAGTCGCCCATCTTTGTGCGCCGCCAGCACTTAATCTTGCCACAGGAGGAGCAGCAGCCACCGCCGCCTGTACTCTACTCCCCGCCGTTCTCTTTGCGCAGTGCGTCCCCCTCGTACATAGAGCGCCAGCCGGAGATCGATCGCTGCGCCGTCGAGGCTCTTCCCCTCGCACCGGACATGCCCGCAGCCACACGTACCAGCATGGACATCAACCGAAACAACGGCTACCTGCACAACGGAGTGAGTATCTCGATCAGTAGTACACAACAGTAGTCATGCGAACACACATGTAAAACGCAAGCTTAAGCCAGGTGTTGTGGAATAGGGGGATTGCCCAAAAATAAGTAAACCAAGTTTAGCAATGATTTGCGTTTTGTTTGGTCAGGCCGTTTGTTGGCTACGCAACTGATGGCTTGTAGATTACTCTCATTTGGCACTTAGTAGTCATGGATAACTCGGTAAACTCGTTAGCTGCCCCCCTGCCGGGTTTTGTAACTGAAACAGATGCCTAGAATAGGAGGGCGTCATCATGGAATTTCCCGCAGCTTACAGTACGACAAGTGTAGCAAATATCTGATATCTTATAGCTGAAATTCTAGACTACAGACTGTGCAAAATGATGCCAAAATATTCACCCGCTCGGCTCTAATTTAGCCTCCTCGTTTTCGCAAATACTCTATGTCTTATCTTGGCCAATATAAATGCCGTTTGCCCCAGCCATTAACCGACCAATTAAATGGAAATGAAATTAAATTGAATTCGTTGCCACATTTGGCAACCGAACTCGGTATATATGTATGTACACATATATGTACATAAGCAAAGCGATGAAATCAAAACAATAGCAAAGCTGAAATTTGTCGCCAGTACTAAACGGCGACCGACCACAAAAGGGAGCACCACAAAAATTTCACTCTCGTCACGGCAAGCCCCCCATACGCAACATCGACGGACAAGCTGTCACAGTGACAGACTCGAAGACAGAGAGACTCGGATGGAAAAGTCGGGGGCACACCATGTGGGTGTGCTCTGCTACTTAAGTGATTGCTGGTTATAGCTAGACATAGACATCGATATAGATATCCGCTGGCTGCTGATGGGAAATCGGAATGAGAATGGGAAATGGGAATGGGAAGGGCCATGTAATGTCTATGGGAATGAGTTGCTACCGTTTTGCATATTGTCACGTTTTAAGGTCAATTAATTATTGAACGAAGCAAGCGAAAGTGTGGAGGCGGAATCGCACGTGGAAGCAGCCAGTATCAGTGGGGGAGAGTCTTAATTAATGCAAGACATTCAAATAGCTTCAATTATGAATAACATCCAGTGTAGTGTATCCTAAAGTCAATGAATCACAAGGTTGCAATGCATTTTTGGTACAATCTTATCAAACGTTGCTCATATTTTTTCTGGTGACTCCTCCTCCGCCTGCCAGTGATAAGATATGAGCTGGCTGGCACACCACTCCAACTGCGATGGGAGCGGTGGAGCGGGGGCTCTACTCTGAGTGAGCAGAGTCCATTGAGGAATGGGGTGCACGCGTGGTGTCCGGAGAGATATCATCTCCCTTATGTAATCTCTCTCGCTCTGGCCCGCTGGCTAAGCCAATGCACTTTCTGTTGTGATGCGCTGCTGTTGTTGCGGGCTGATTTTATTTACATGACAATTGCCAGAGCAATCGCGCCTGATAAGCAGCCTCGTATAAAATCCATAATGGTGGAGAGTCACATAAATATGTGTGCTCTGAAATCACGCAAGGTGAAGTGCTCATTTGAAGCTATCTTTATATCATTGGGTAATGCCATACAGCACTTGTGAGATGCAGTTCAACACCTCTAGGGTGTGTTAAGCCAGCAACAAACTAAAGTGGCCAAATTGTGGTCTATATCGCATTCAAAAAACTTAAAACAAATAAGGCTTTGCATAGGTACTCTCTACTTTTGCTTAAGATTATTCCAAAAACATGGTAACTTTTCCAGTTAGTGTGCTATTACAAGATCATGACGCGCATGTCGAGGGAGAATTTTAGTATTATAATAATCGCATTAGCCTCACTCGAACTACATGACAAAAATATCATAGCATAAATTCAGGGTACAAATCTGTGTTGAATTCATGTAGAATACATGTACTTTTTCCAATGCTTAGGTTAGTTAGGGCTTTATAATTACCTCATTTTATTTGAAAACACACAATAAATATTTATTGATCTTTATATTACGTGAAGGCAACACATTTTTTGTCTGATTTGTAATTATTTACTGTTTACAAACTATTTAAATAGTTACTACCGGAATGCAGAGTTCATTTTGAAATGTAGGAACATTTAAAACTAAACTCTAAACCAGTTCACGTGCCGTGTGGCATGCAACTGCCACCCCATCAGAGACTTGTCCACGTGCTTAGTGTTCCTGTTTTATAACACAAAACGCAAAACATTTGATGGCTGAAGCCTAGGGGCGGAAACTTCTTGCATGGTCTTTATTTCTCAACGTTTAGCAGAGCTCCACGCCCATGCATCGCCTCTGGCATCCGTGTGGCTTTTATGCGGAATGGGGTCGTTGGGGTAATTGCAGACTCCTCACATGCCTGTGCCCAGCTCCTGGTGCGGCTGTCGATTGCGTGCAAACATTTGCATGAACACAAAGGGGATTGCATGCCGATCCCTTCTCGTCCTTCCACATTTATGTGGAAAGTGAATTTCTAATGCTTCTGCTTTTGCTTTCCATGGCCTGAAAAGCCGTAAAGAGGTGCCTCCCTCGACTTGAGGTTTTCTGTAATCTCCCATAAATTATGTAAGCTGTGTGCGAGATTCCAGTGTTGAAATAGTTGTCCGCGATTTCAATATGTGCATATCGAGAACCTAATGTAACCGCAGAGGTTTGCCAATATGCGACAGAAGTCTCCTCCTGCAATATAAGGAAATGTAAACCAAGTCCCAAGTTCCGTATGTCTGTCGTGGATCTATCCGATATGTGCCATTTAGTGTTCGCCTATGAGTTTATACTTATGTAATCTTATATACTTACGCCGCCTCTCTGCCTCTGTCTCTGGCTGCTCCTTGCATTGCGGCTAACCACGTTTTGTAATAAGCGTAATTCTATATACTCACGTACCAGCAACAGCAATCATTCAAAGACACCATCAGCACCCACTTCATTGATGTGTCTCGCACTTAAGTTAATGCTGAGCGACTCTTTTGGGGCAAGTTGATGCGGCAAATCCTCAGCTTAAAGGAAGCCACCAAAGTGCGTAAATGAACACCTCTCATACGTGGTGCTGGGGCTGGGGCTAGGTCAGGAACGTCCACTTCAGAGCAGACCATTCCATTTCGGCCCAGATATGGACAGTACGCTTGATCAACTGTGTCGAGTTATCAGACAGTTGCACAACCAACGATAGAGTCGATTGATTCGGGAGCAGGGCCAGCCGGTGGACAGACAGGCTACTCCATTCAGTCGGCCATTTGGGCGAGACGGACACAGACCCGGCTTTGTCCGAGGATTGCTAGATAAGCGGCAGCCCCCGACCCAATCGCGGCATTCAAAAGCCGCCGCTCTTCTCACGATCATTTCGCAATATTTCGACTGTGCCGGACTAGTGTTGGTAAGCGCAACAAGTGTTGGCTGCACTTTTTTGTGTAACTGTAATGTAAAACCGACCACAAAAAGAGTGGGTGCTGCCGGGGGAACGGGGGACAAGGGACAGACAGACGACTGGGCTCGATGTAAATTTATAAAAGGCTAGACGTCAACAAATTTGATTTCAGTGCGCGATTGTTTTGGCTGCATTGCAGTTGCTCAATTCGCTCAGGGGATCGAGTTGAGAGTCCTTGCAGGATAGCAGGATAGACAGTACCCGACACGACCCCATGGAAGCCGTTTAGCCTCGAACTGGTACCAGGTTTAGCGCTAGGTGAAAATATGCAAAACGTTGAAAAGCAGCGGGGAAAAGTCAAACAAAAAGTGGAACCAGAACCCGAAACAGAAACAGAACGATTGCCAGCGGAGAGGGAGAATTTGGCGTTAGGAAAGGACAGGGAGGAGGCAAAGGAGCAGAAGGAGGAGGAGGACACCAGCTCCAAAATCAAGACCCGTTCACGCTTCTCGGCCGCCTTTCGCAGTCTCTCCAAGCCAAAGGCCAAGAAGGAGAAGGAGCAAGAAGCCAAGAGCGAGGAGGAACCCACCGCCACGCAGCTGGAGGACGTGGACAGTACTGATAGTGGAGCCGCTGGGAAGACGCTCAAGAAGAAGAGTCTGACTCGTCGCCTGCTGCTGGGCGGTCTGAAGAAGACCCCAAAGGCTCGACCGCACAGCCTGGCCACCAGCGATGAGATCAGCGTGCTAGACAGCAGCCTCGAGCGGGTGGAGACAGCCCCAGACCCAGATCTGGACACCCCAGACACCAATGCACCATCCGCCAGCAGCAGCGGCACCCTCCTCCAGATAACCATAAGCGGGAAGAAAGTCGAGCCGGCCAAAGGCAAGAGCCGCAGCAGCAAGAGTCGAACCAAGAGCTCAGCCAGCGAGACGGATTACCTGACACCAGCGGCAGGGGCGTCGACGGGGAGGGGGCCTACAGCGGGTGGGAAGAAGAAGGCGACCACGACCACAACGGTGACGACCAAAGACACGAGCAGCACTCGGATGACAAAGCTGATTGTGGCCAAGAAGAAGCAACAGTCGACCCCCAAGCCAGCAGAAGCAGCGACACCCAAAGCGACAGAACGAGTCGCGACGGCCGCAGAGACTGGAGGGAAAATCGCTATCACCGAGAGCACACGAGATACGCCGCCCAGAGAGCGGGCCCCGGCCAAGCCGAGTCGCGTTCAGGTTCAGTCTGCCAGCAGCACCGGAGCCGTTCGCAAGTCATCCTCCAGCAAGAAGTTGGAATTGCTGCAGCAACAGCAGCAGCGCGGACACCGCCTTTCCCGACAAGTCGCCAGCAACGCCACAACGGTGGCCACCCCAGAGAGCAACCAAGTGCCGGCCCTAGAGGCGCCACCCAGTCCAGAGCCGGAGCCCAGTCCGCCTACGTGTCCGCCCCCACCCCCGCCAGTCGAGGACGAGCAGGCTGCCGACGACGCCGTGTCCTCAGCGGAGAGTGCCCAGAGAGAGAGTGTCAGTCCATCGCCCGTTGTGCGTTTCGCCGTTGGCAGCGCCGTGCGCAGTCCGCTCAGTGCCTACGAGGCTGCCCTGGCAGCGTTAGCCAATCAGCCGCCCAGTTCCAGCGAGGAGCCCAGCGACTCCAGCCTCCGGCGACTCAGCTTTGCCCAGCAGCAGCTCGTTCTGAGCGACCACGACAGCATCGAGGGCAGGCGGGAGACCCTGCACTATCACTCCGTGGCCAGCGAGTACTCGAACGAGGAAGAGGGCGGGGGCGAGGGCGAGGGCGAGTGCTCCGTGTCCGAGGACAGCGAGGACCAGTCCGTGAAAGATCCAGCCACTGCGAACCCCATGCCGGCCTTTGGTGACCTGACCATGGATCAGGAAATGGAACCGGTAAGGTGTCGCCCAACTGTTTACCTCGCTGATTTACCACCGAAGCCGCACAAGTGTCGTGTTGCTTCTGTGTGCCTGCATTGTGGCCTGCCCTCGACGGCTGTTCATGTTCATCGGCCGTCCCCCAGCCCCCCTTTACGTGGGAGGCTCTCTCTGTGTGTGTGTTTGTGTGTTTGTGTGCGTGTGCGTGTCATTCAACCGCTGCGGATGAGGGCTCTAGACAATCGACTATTCAATCACAGTCTTCATTTGAACGATAGACAATCCGCACAGCATAGCCAAGAGGTTCGGATTGAAGTGCAAAAATGTACACCGGACATAGATTAATTACTGAGATTCCCTTAATTAAAGTGAATTTAATTTCAATCTTTGCAGGCCATCATGACGTCAACCAGTGAGAAACGGGAACATCTGTACAAAATTCTAGTCATCGGTGAGCTAGGCACAGGGAAGACGTCCTTCATCAAGCGCTACGTGCACCAGTTCTTCAGCCAAAACTATCGGGCCACCATTGGCGTGGACTTTGCCCTGAAGGTGCTCCAGTGGGACGGCAACACGATAGTGCGCCTGCAGCTGTGGGACATTGCCGGCCAGGAGCGGTTCGGCAATATGACGCGAGTCTACTACAAGGAAGCGGTTGGAGCGTTCATCGTGTTCGACGTCACACGCAGTGGAACCTTCGACTGTGTGAGCAAGTGGAAGGAGGATTTAGACTCGAAGGTGCAGCTGCCAGACGGGAGTCCTATACCCTGCATACTGCTGGCCAATAAGGTGAGTGAGGAGTGAGGCTCAACTTGCTCAAGAGAGTTTCCCGGTTGATACCTTTTGTTTGCTGCTTTTGTAGTGTGATCAGGAGAAGCAGGGCATCGTCACGAATCCCGAGAAAATGGATGAGTATGTGAGAGAGAACGGGTTCGCCGGCTGGTTCGAGACATCCGCCAAGGAGAATATCAACATCGATGAAGCCTCCCGCGCTCTTGTGAATAAGGTAAGAGAGACCCCAGCTAATGGATAACTATCTCTTGACTAATGTATTCGTATGTCTGGTACAGATACTCATCAACGATAAGCTGATAAGTGGCGACCTGGCCGATGGTGACAAGTTCAACCTGAACAACACCAGCGATGCAACTGGCACGGAAACCAAGAACAAGTGCTCCTGCTGAAAGCAGAGGCCCGGACAGCCATCTGTTATATTCCAACAATCATTCCACCACTTTCCTCTCCCAGTCTGAGCAGCAGTCCTAAAGCTAATCGGGAATATGTTTATGTTCATTCCATTACGACGATAACTATGCTTAGGGTTTTAACTTAACATTTGTCTAAGACTTAGCATCCTCATCGTAGCATCCATCAGTCACCCGATCCTCGTGTTTGTTTTCACCGACACCGACCGACCCTGGCTGGAAGACTTGTGCCCGTAAATTCTGGATAAGACCTCAGATCGGGGTCACTGCGTGAATTTATATGGCAGCACCTTCGTCCAGACATACATATAAAGCATTATCATAAACATTATCTAAGCTAGTTGGCAGCATCCATGCTGCCCATGCCGTACCCACCCCATTGTAGGGTCTACATTTGTGTAAAATACGAATCGTTTTCTCGTTGTCTCGTTATTTTGTTTGCCTTATTTACTTTTGTTGGCGTGATTGTTTTATCTTGGAATTCTTATACACATACATACACACACACTTTGCCATCTTTATTTGCATTTAATTTAGATAAATATACGTACCGTACGCTCTATGCAATACGAAATGAAAAATAAAGTTTTAATTGTAGTTAAGCCAAGTGAGGAAGTGTTTTATTGTGATCATAGAACGGACCGACAGTGCTCACTCTCCTTATCGTGATAACGCATAACGATTGGGTTTGAATTTCCCGCAATGCAATTGTATGTAGATACTGTAAAGTGTTGTGATCTGGTTTGTTTGTTCTCTGGAACCACAGCTGAACAGAACAATCTGAACAGAACTATGTTATTACGCTGTTAAGTGTGGCTACGGAATTTTAAAATAGTGTGATTTTAATGGAAAGAAATGTCTTCTAATATAAGGAGAAGAAAGAAAAGAAATGATTTCAAGATGTCCCAGCTCAGATTTCAAAGGGTGTTATACTCGCCCTTTGAACGGATTCAACAAGAGTGTGTTGCTTCTTGTATTGAGGCCTGAAGAACAATACTGTTTTACACAACAATCCTCAATTATGTTGAGAAGATAGAAGAACTGCCACCCAAACGCCTCCGAGCTTATTATAATATTTACATTTTTTCATATTAAATTTGCATATCAGTTAACATACATTTGTCTCTACATGTTACATACAGTTAAATTAATTTTTTTGATGTATTTCTTACTTACTATTGTCTTTATTTCTTTCTTAATTGTTGGAATATTAAGATCTTTGTGGATATTTGAATTAGATACGTAAAAAGGATCATTGACAATGTGTCGCAAAGATTTTGATTGGTAACGCTGAAGTATTTCAATATTTGTGTCCTCCAGGGCTGTATAGCGTAGGTCCAAACAGGCTTCAGTTGGGATTTGTAGAGGTGAATTTTGTTTTCCAAAGTGGTTTCTAATTTTCGACTTATCAACCAGGACATTTATAGTGTTTTAAGTCTGAGTTGTTGACATGTTGCTTTAATGTGGTTTTTCCATGTTAATCTGCGGTCGAGATTCAAGCCGAGATACCTTCACACAGGTACTTTGTGGAATTGGTGAGCCGTTAAGTGTAACATTTAGACAGTTACCTGGTCTACAGTTACATAATGAACACAAATGATATTCAAATACAAATTTGAAAAATATTAGGTCATCAGGTCTAAACTCCAATAAAAAGGAGTACTTTTAATCAGAAAAATTGATTATTCAAACGGATTAAATGATTGTTTCAGTGTTTAAAGTCTTTGCAGGCTGGTAAATTAAAATAGCAGATCAAAATCGAGAAATATGATTTAATACTGCGGTATATTTTTAAAATGAGAAAATTTTTTAAATGACTTGATATACTTTATCGATAGTTCCGCTGGAAACTCGGTTTGGGAAAACATCGATAGTGGCCACCGTCGATGGTGGAAATAGTATAGGTTCCAAAAGTTATGGTTGAAAATTAAAATAGTTCCTCACCTGTATTATTAAAGCAGTATTAATGGTAGTAAAGATATCCAATATAAAAAGACACAGTTAAACGGTAATACTCTGTTATAGTCAAGACGCCTTAAAGGCTCTGAAAGGCAATGAATCAAATTCATACTTAACAGACGAAATCCTGGACAATTCCTTCATGAGCAACTTTATTGTGCATTGGAAACCCGGCCACAAGAACATTGCCATTAATGAAAAGCCTGACAACTTAACCAAATCAGCCACGAGTGTAGGCAAAATATTTAATTTACCTCTAAAATTCGATAATTATAATATAATTTAAAATTATAATATATTATTTTTTATATATTTTTTAATTTTATAACTCTTAACGAAGCATCATTTTGTTTAAATTATAACAACCTTTCCAAAGCAACACCCTGCATGCACTCATCAACAATCATCGATAGCAACACTCATGAAAAAATATCGACAGCAACACCGAACATACCCATCGAACTGAAGAACCGATAAATTGTTTATTGCAAAAATCCGAAAAAAAAACTGCTGAAGGAGAGATAGTTCAACATTAAATTGGTTTTTGCAGACAGGGGAAATGTGCTAGATGTTTAAGGTGAGCTGCAAAACATCCGGTCGCAGTCCAGAGCGCATGCCTCACTGGCTGGGATCCATTTTCGTGGGGCATCTCGTGTTACTCGTCACGTTAACTCCCCCTTTTCGGGTCTTTGTTGTGTGCTACGCGGCGTTGGCACTTCTGCTGGCTGATAAGTGGCAGGCCGAGACGCAGGCCACTTAATTAATCAGTGCCCCAGCAGTGGGCAAGTCAATTGGATATTTTGGACGCCGACCCGACCCGAGAATCAGCTGAGCGTCGCCGCGCACCGACCGTCTGCAAGAAATTCCAATTAAGTCAATTTTCCCACACTCTCTCTATCTCTCTGTCGCAGTTGTTGCATAGTTGGAATTTAGTTGGATTCACTGGCGAGACTGCTACAAGACAGACACGATGTTGTCGCAGCGGGAAAACGTCGACCTGGAGTGCTTCCTGGTGACCAAGCACTCCTGGAAGGGCAAGTACAAGCGGATCCTCTCCATCGGCACAGCCGGCATCTCCACCTACAATCCAGATAGATTCGATCTCACGAATCGCTGGACCTACTCGGATATTGTGGCGGCAGCCCCCACCAAAACATCAAATGTAAGCGCTGATTGGCTTTTCTGGAAATTTTGATAATTAAATTCGATCTTTTTCAGATACCCAATGAGTTTGTGCTGACCATCAAGAAAGATAAGAAACTGGATACGATCAAATTGTCTTCCGAATACCGCAATGATATTCTCAGTTCTATACTCAAGTACTACAAAGAGTTTGCCGATAAGCCGAAAAACACTCAGGTTTGCCCCAAAATCCGTTGATGAGTCATGGAATCGTATGGTAAATGTTTGTTTGCAGCGCTTCAGTGCGTACAAGTACCACTGGTCGGGCATCAGCCTGCCCACTGTGCTGGAGGTGACGCCGTGTTCTCTCGACCAGCTGGACCCCACCACCAACGATGTGCTCGCCAGCTACATGTACAAGGACATTGAGGGAATAATAGGTAGCTATAAAGACTCGGCTCGCTTGCATCAGATGTTGTGCACTGTTCGTTATGTCGCCATGTTTCACAATTTTAATTCAATGTGTACGCTTTATTTTCGTCTGCTCTGGCACTCATCTTTATGGTCTTTGTTTACGTTTGCGCACGTTTTAAGCAGGCATCTCGGACTATGAGGGCGGCATTGTGATGGCCTACGGTGGCTTCAGTCGCCTACACTTGTTCAAAGCCTTGAATCACCACGAGATCGTGCAGAACATTGCCCAGAGGTCGGCCCAGTTCCTGGGAATCGAAACCAAAATACTCAAGAGCCAGATAACACTCGAGCAGTTCGAGAGGCAACGATTTGGCAAGTTCAGGTTAGACACAGCGAATGGATAGAGTGTTTGTTCTTTGCAGTAAAGAAAGACTCTTCTGTTTCTTCCGCAGCGACGATCAATTTCAAACCTCGATGACCGAGTTCACTGTGCAAAAGATAACGCACCGCCATCCGGATCCAGTGAAGCGCATACTCTGCCTTACCGAAGTGACGCTGCTGGAGAGGGATCCCCAGACGTACAGTGTCTGCACTCTGCGCCCACTAACCGATGTGTTTGCTCTGGTTCGCGACAAGGACAGTCTGCAGCGTTTCAGCATCGAGTACAAGAACGGAGTCGTGCGCAGTTATAGTACCAACGACAGGGACTCCCTGTTGGCCACTCTGCTGGATGCGGTGCGCTCCAGCGGCAATCAGGATGTGCACATACGCATCGGCAACACCCCCAGAGGCAAGAGATACGTACCCCTGAGCAGCTCCGTGGACGAGGAGACGGAGGCCAACTTGTTGCGCTTGGTAATCAACAATTTCCAGAATCCCTCCAAGCGTTACGAGATCCTGGAGCGCTTTAATGCCAATGTGCCGCACAGTGGACTCAACTACAGTGTGACGCAGGACGTGGGTAGCCCCAAAAGAATCGTTTGATCACCCTTCGTTACAGCCATTTAATTGCCCATTTCAGAGTCTGTTTGCTGAGAACAAGGAGAAACTCATATTGAGTGCGCTGCAGGCATTGGCACAAAAGGAGCTGGACAGCCCCACAGCACAGCTGAGCAACTTGGAGCTAGAGGCTATATTCCACGCCCTGACTCGGCTCCTGGCCAGCAAAGTGGGCTATGCTGCCTTCACCAATCTCACGGGGTAAGCATTCCACCTGGAAACGTTTTATTGTCCATCATTAATTTTATTTCCCTTGGATAACGCAGATTTCGTGAGATTATTGGTACCAAGGTTGTGGCTGCTTTGCGGCGCAAGGATCTGGCTGTTACATACTCTGCCATTGACATGATCAACTCGCTGATGCATTCGGTGAACACTGACCATGACCTGAAGCAGGAACAGCTGAATAAATCCTCCATACTATCATCGAAATCGTTTCTGGAAACCCTGCTCAATATGTGGACAACGCATGTGGTAATTGCAGCAAAACGATTCGAAACTTAAAGGAATTTGCCATTAAATCGTTTGCTTTGCAGAGCCATGGCAGTGGTGCCCTTGTTCTGTCGGCCATGCTAGACTTCATGACATTTGCCTTATGCGTGCCTTACAGCGAGACCACCGACGGCAAGCAGTTCGATACACTCCTGGAGCTGGTCGCCGATCGTGGTCGCTACTTGTACAAATTGTTTCAGCACCCCTCGCTGGCGATCGTTAAGGGAGCCGGTCTGGTCTTGCGAGCCATCATCGAGGAAGGGGAGCTGCCGGTGGCTCAGCAGATGCAGGCCCTAGCCCTGGATGAGGCGGCCTTGTGCAGGCACTTGCTGGTGGCGCTGTACACGCCATCCAATGATCCCACTCTGACGACTCATCGCCAGCTGTCACGCCATCTGATTGGCCTGTGGCTGACGGACAGCGAAGAGGCCCTGGAGCTGTTCAAGCGCATTTTCGTGAGTTGCGCTCTGGGAGGGTTCTGCCAGAAAGATTTACATTTAACTTTATTTGCCTAGCCCGCTGGCCTCTTGACCTTCCTGGAGTCCGAGGACGGCGTACCGGAGACAGATATGGAGGAGGATAAGCTCAATTTCCGCGATAACCTCAAGTTTGCAATACAAC